TGTCCTTTCCTGTATATTTAAGATACCGTCCGGGCTTCCGCCTTCTTCTGATCTATTTTGCCACACATATCAAATACCATATACCACAGCTCTAACCTATACAACATCATGTTGCAGACCCCAAACCGAACAACAACCTTTCCTCATCAACAACAACAACTCAACACATACACACAACATCTACAACCCGGCCCATACGACCGCATGCGACACACAGCGACACCATTCCACGCCGACGTGAACAATAGTGCACACGACATCGACCTCGACTCGGAACTCAACTACCAGAGCTTGTCGTCATCGCCAGTCTCGACACAGTCGCTGCTCTCGCAGTACTCGGGTGTGGGTTCTTCGCCTTTGTCGACCTTTGACAGCATTCCGACACCGACGCTGGGAGGACTGAGAGGAGATTTCGAGGGCTCTTTGTTCGAATACTCGCCACAAAGCAACCAGGCCACCCTCGCAGAGTCATCTGCCTCGCTTTTCCCAAACCTCGACCTGATGCAAACGGATACGTGGATGCCAAGCGGCCTCACCCCAAGGTCGGCCGGTCGATTCTCACATCACAGAGAGTCTTCGCTGTCTTCTCTGGGTTCGAATGGTCCAGCTTCTCCATATTCGCACAACACCACCAATCCTCAGATCGCGGTAACGGATTCTCTGGGTGAATACCACGGCTTGCCATCACAGGAAGACTTCAACTACCAGCTTGCACCAACAAAGCCGTTTCCCGGTGTGACACACGACAACTTCTACGCCAACCTCGGGACATATGCCTCGGCCGGTCCAACGGCTATCAACTACCCACAAGTAGCTACGGCTCCGAAGCGGAGGGACGACCGAGGGTTGCTTCAGCCTTCCGAGAACCCGATTGGGTCTAACCGGTCACAGCCCGTATCGGTGGCGAGCTCTATTAATTCTGACTCACCCGCCACCCCAGCAGGTGACCTCGAGGAAGACAGGAGGAACAAGAATGGTGAGAATGAACCAAACCTTTTCGATTACCTCTCAAACAATCCAAGCTCACCATTTCTCGATGAAGCAGTCATGCACACCGTTCCCAAACTCGACCGCACTCTGACGGATGTTTATGCCGATGAGCTCTACAACCCAGACTTCACCCTCACAAACACATCGGCATCTCAGCTCCCAGTATCACCAACAAACGACTTGTTTGTACAGCGGATCCAGGCTGCCAACAAACAGCACTTGACAGCAACAGTCAACTCACCGGCCTCAGCGACACCACGGGATCGATCACCATTCCGCCACGGCTCACCGCACGCGCCCTTGCCAGTGCATGATTTCTCATCCATGGGAGCTTCGCAAGCTCGCTTCGGGTCGGCTCAGCAGATGCGTGAGCAGAGCAAGGCGCTTCAGGACGCCCGTGTTATGCAGCAACAACTGTCTCGCGCTGCGAGTGCCACCACACCACCAACTACCATCTCACCCAAGGACGCCATGCTTGAGTTCCACGAGTCGGATGGGGACAACAACTTCCCACTATTCCCACCACAGTCGAGCACCTTCAACGTGGATGCCATCACCAAGGCCACCAGTGCCCCCAGCCAGCCGGCGTTCAACGGGCTTTCTTTGGATACCACGGCCATGTTCAACAACTACCTGGCCTCTGGCCTTCCCAACAACATTCAGGTGCCGCAGCAATACCCATTCATCGCACGCCCACAGCCACGACAAGAGAGCGCTGTGCCATCGCTGAGCAATGCCTCGCTCAACACATCAAGAGTCAGCTCTGTCGATACCGGTCTGGACTCTGTCAACAGTCCACCAAAGCGACCTGCGGATGTCTCTGCTGATGGAGGCACGTACACCTGCACATACCATGGCTGCACTATGCGCTTCGAAACCCCAGCGCTTCTGCAAAAGCACAAGAGGGAGGGACATCGCCAGGCACATGGCCTCAACGGTAGCAGGCAGCCAGGTGGCATGACGTCCAGTCTCATGTCGCAGGCTGGGCCTCACCGCTGCGATCGTATCAACCCCAGCACTGGAAAGCCCTGCAACACTGTCTTCTCGAGACCCTACGACCTTACCAGGCACGAAGACACGATTCACAACGCACGCAAGCAAAAGGTTCGCTGCAACCTGTGCACTGATGAGAAGACGTTTAGCCGCGCTGATGCCCTTACTCGACATTACCGCGTGTGCCACCCCGATGTTGAGTTTCCCGGCAAGCAGCGTCGTCGGGCTCACGCCAGCGGGTGAATGTCAACCGTCGCTGCAACACCACAGCGCTGCGACACGGCCCGACAGCTTGGCGAGATCTGAATCATGCTGCCTTCGACGACCACACAACAAGACATCAATCAGCATCATCCATCGATTTTGGTACCAGCCTCGCGCTGCCGATCTGGCTGACATGGTGTGGAATGACACAATTCACAAGAGAGCGATGCGCCAACCGACAGCCTTGGATCGGCCCATGGAGCATCCAAGGCTGTTGCATCGTTCGGGCGTGTGTTGTGGTGTCGATTGCATCGCAAATGACGTCGATTGACGCGAGCTGGCTCTGCCGCGGGGTTCCTTGTGCATCATCAAGCGCCAATTGTCGGCTGTCATTGGTTGGGAGGCCCTCAGGTGCGACCCCGCAAGAATTCAGGGTCTAAACCACGCCGCTCCATGGCGTCGTCCCTGCAGGGTCCAACAGGGAACCCCGGCTATTTCTGGGCTGTCTTTGACGGATCAGCTGGACCCTGACTTTTTTTTTGGCTGCCATCGGCGCCCAACTCGAGCCCTTTTCGCTTCGCCAGGTTCACCTGTCATATGACGTCATCCCCACCCTCGACACCACTCCGGAATGTCTCGATTTCGGGTTTGGGAGTCGGTTCCCCGTCATCGAATGGGATCAGCGACCGTTTTCCTTTTTTTGGTGTTCAACCTTGGGTTTCTCGACCTTTTTCGGTTTCCTACCTCGAACTTGTATGATGTAGTGGTGGCTTTCTTTGCGGAGCAAAGCAACGCTTTTACCCGATTTCCCGCCATCTTCGATGACGATGTCGCTTTTTCAGTTCCCAACATGGAGAGCGGTTTTTTTTCTTCACTATTGTGTCCTAGAGCCCGGCAAGCGTGTGGGACTGCGACACTTGTACCAACAAAGTCTATGATGACAATGACGGCATTCCCACGGGCGCTTGATATAAAACAGTTTTGGGACTATGATCGCATGGGGGTTTTTTTTTACGATTTTTTACGATGGAACTCTAGCGTGTATTATGAAATCATGGGTGGCATCAAGAAAGGGAAAGGGATATGATAGATCTGCTTTCAAAGCTCGGGCTAGCAAAGGAGTGCATGGCTAGCGATTTTGTTTTTGGATTTTCTCACAACGCATCCCGGCTATCAGTGCTGGGGTTTGTATCATTTCTCTTTATTTCTTTCTTGGTTACTAAAAATGGGCGGGTTTTCTTTTCCATAACCCAAACATTCCCCTCGATGGGGAAAGGTTTGGGCGGGGAGGTGTTTGATTCCCTGGGGTTTCAAAATGG